AGTTTCTGTAATTCTCCCATGCCTACCATATGTAAAATTGGGATCTTTGTTTCTATAATAACCTTTTATTAGGGAACTGACATAATGATTAAGCTCACTGAGACACATACAATGAATTAGACGATTACCCTTGCTGCTTTAAGCTTTTCACAATTGCAGCAAGACAAAATAATTAATATTGAATTTTAATTTGATGTGTTCCACATTTAAACCCCAATTTGCAAAGTACACCTGGAAAGCTGCCACTGTTCACTCTCAGTTTAAGCTGATGAAAGAAAGGCTCCTGCAGTTTGAAGTACTAGAGCACATAAAGCACAATGCTTTTCTGCAGAGGAAATAACATGGGCGAAGTAATTACTTACTCCTGAATTTCCACTCTTATCACAACATATGGTCATGAATTTTAAAAACAAGCCACCAGTCTTTCAAAAAGAATGTTACGCATCAACTGGTTCAGAGAAATAAAATCAAATTCCTTGCAATACTAGTTAATGCTGATATGACATTGTTAGTTTTACGAAATCATTTATATAGATTTATTAATTTGATGTTATTTTCTTGCACATTTCCCCAGTTCTGTTTTAAAACTATGGATGTTACATTTGTCTAACTGATGTGAATAGAACATCGACAAACTTCATTTTAAAGAAAGTATTTTGTTACAGAAAAGCTATTTAGCATTGTGAGACCAAATTCAAAGATTTCACATTATCTTACAAAATAAAATTAACCCTGTACATTACAGTAGCTTGCTTAAAATGATAACACTTGTTGCTTGATACACGTATGCAGTCCTTGGGCTGCAATTTTCCCTTTCTGAGACTAAGTGTAGGGGTGATCGTGAACTAATTACCCATAATGCTGATAAAACTCAACCAATCACATGCTAATCAGTTTAAGAGTTAACTGGCAAGCTATAGCAAGTAACTCAGGCTCGAGCTGGCATTGTCAGTGGCACCCCCATCCCCAGAAACTGCCAGCCAATCAAAGGCTGGCAGCTTCTGTGTCTGAAAGACCGGCAGTAAAATCTTACTCTCAGTGGATCCAATGGTGAGAAGGCAAGTCTTTTTCTTTTTACTCCTGCAGGGTGGGTATCATTGGGACAGGAGAGTCGAGGGGTCAGAGGCAAGGTCAAAGGGTGGTTTTCAGAGCCATCCCATTGTCCCCAGACACGTGCCTCAGTTTGCCCCCACATTGGAACAATTAGAACTCCCCCCACAACCTGGCATGCAGGTTGCCTCAGTTTCCCAGCAGAGAAATCGGTCACTCTTATGACTTGCCAGGAGGCTTGTAATCAGGGAGGTGGTGAATTAATATCCTTAAGTGGTTGTTCGTTGACCACTTACAGGCTTTAATTCAAAGCAGATCAGGAACAACTCCAATGTACCTTCTCACCTAGAATTTATTTTTGATGTGGCAAGGAGGAGTTGATTATCTCTCCAGGATCAACTTATCCAATAATTGCCCTTTCTCACCACCTCTAGGGAGAGGATAAATTCTAACCCTTGTGTATCAATTATTGAATTTGTGCTTTCTGGACAAGGATTAAAAGTCTGCAATAACTATGCTTCATGTTGACTGGAAGGTACATTTGTATGAATTTGAATATTCCCAGCTATGAATTTTCAGGATGCAACTTGCCTCTAAAAGGAAACACATTCACTTGTAGATTAATGTTTATGGCTAGAGAAATTCTAATTTGCATTTCTTGATAATTTTGTAATCATTCAGCATGCACTATTAAGAATTCTCACAATGTCATTTGTGAAAGACAGCATATGTTACAACAGAATGTACACTTTTTCCCTGAAATTTACCATTTTTAAAAATGATTGAATATATTTACTGAAAGAACCTCAGAATTATTATGAATCTGAGAACTAAGAAGCAATTTGTTGCCATCTAACAGGTCATGGTATAACAAGATATTAGACTTATTTCTGCAAATCTCCACATTATATGAATGTGGAAATGACAGTCACCCAAGAACTAGATGAATGAAGATCAGAGTCACTACAACACAACTCATCCAATCTGTTCCTGCTTTCTGTACAGTAAACCATTAAGTCTCATTCCTCCACCTTGTTACCACAGCACTGCAAGTTTATTTGCAAGTGCTGATCACATTTTGTTTTGCAATTGTGTAATGCCTCTGTTCCTCGTAAACAGGGAGTTCAAGGTCATTACCAGTTATAGTGTACCAAAGTTCTTCCTCACAGCCCCCTGTCCACCTCTTACATTAACCTGAAATCTATAACCTCTGGCCTTTTAATAATCAGCTAATGGGAACAGCTTTTCTTTCTCTATCCTCCTTTCACATCCTTCCTAAATATGATGGACAAAACTAAAGACAGTGTTCTAATTGTGACTATGCTTTCTAAAGGTTCAGTATACCTTCTCTAATATTGTACTCAATACCTCAATACAGCTCTGCCTTCAACACTATCATCCCAATCAAACTAATCTCCAAATTCCGAGATCTAGGTCTCTGCTCCAACCTTTGCAACTGGATCCTCAAATTCCTGACCCACAGACTACAATCAGTGAGGATAGGCAACAGCACCTCCTCCATGACAATCCTTAACACCAGTACCCCACAAGTCTGTATACTCAACCCCGCTACTGCACGCCCTGTATTCTCATGCAAATTCCATCCTAACTCCATGTACAAATTCACTGACAACACCAACACTGTAGGGTGTATGTCAACCAATGACGAGACAGAATACAGAAAAGAGAAAAAGAGTGTTTGGTGTAAAGATAACAATCTCTCCTTCAACATCAACAAAACTAAAGAGCTGATCATCAACTTCAGGAAGCAAGGAGGAGGAAACACCCTGATATACATCAATGGAGCTGAGGTGGAGGTGGGCGAGAGCGTCAAGTTCCTAGGAGTGACAATCACCAACAATCTGTCCTGGACCACCCATGTTGACGCAACAGTCAAGAAGGCACAACAATGCCTCTTCTTCCTCGGGAGGGTAAAGAAACTTGGCATGTCCATAAGGTCCCTCACCAACTTCTACAGACACACCAAAGAAAGCATTCTATCTGGATGTATCATGGCTTAGTATGGCAACGGCTCTGCCCAGGACTGCAGGAAACTACAGAAAGTTGTGTACATGGCCCAGTCCATCACCAACCTTCCAACCACCGATTCCATCTACACATCTCTTCCAACCTTTTCTGTCAGGCAGAAGGTACGAAAGCGTAAACACAGAGTCAAAAACAGCTTCTTCCCTGCTGTTATTCGACTTCTGAATTCACCTCTCAAATTTCAGATCTAATGTTGATACTGCATTTTGTGTACCTTCTTTGCAGTTATAACTTTGTATTTCTCACTCTGTCTATCACCCTGTGATCTGTGTATGGTAATGATCTGCCTGTATTGCACACAAAATAAAACTTTTCACTGCACCTAGCTGGTACATGTGACAATAACAAATCAAATCAAGTCAAATTTTTTAAGAAGCCCAAGATTCCACATGTGTTACCATTGCAATCTCAATATGCCCTGCCACCTTCAAAGATCTGTGTACATGAAACCCAGGTTCAGCTGTCCCTGTGTCAGTGTTAGAAATGCAGATCTCTTCAGAGGTCAACCAGAATAGCTCCAGAGTTCAATGAAAGCCAATGACACTCATTTATATTGAAGAGGCCAGTTCTTGGAGAAGGTTCCTGTGGTACTGTGATAATGTTGCTACCTCCAGACTAGGAGGCCTAAATTCAAGTCCCAGTTGCTCCAGGACTATATAATGCCATCTCTGAACAGGTTGATTAGAAAATACGAAAAGCTGTGTTCCTAAGGGGAGTGCAGGCAATGTGGTGCAATGGTAGTGTCTAGGTAGATTTCCTTCCCTAAGAAAGATACTAGTAAACCTTTTTTACAATAATCAATGATAGATTCATGGTCAATGTTGCATCATTATTAGCTTTCAATTCCAGATTTAATTAATTGTGATGGGATTTAAACCTTTGTCCCCAGTGTATTAGCTTGAGTCTCTGGATTACTAGTCCCATAACATTACCACTACACCATTCTCTCTTCTCAACTTATTAACAGGAATCATATCTGATGATTCTTGCAGGTTTGTTAACTCCCAGTTCAAGAATGCCGTTAGAGGAGCCTTAGAGAAAGCTTTATGCCCAGAACACAACCTGGAGACAAATATCACGTAGGGCAACCAGAATTTTGAAAAATAAGCAGAAAGATGCAAGTGGATTGATCAAGTTACATCATACATTTCACACATGAAACAATATCCCCTTCCAAATTATATTCTTATCAAATTGCTTTTCCTTTAGACAGAAATGCGATTCCCTCATTAACCTGTTCACCATTGAAAACTAAACAGTATCATTGTACCAACTTGTTTAAAAAGAATGGACCAAAAGGAAAATACCCCATCCATTCAATCCTTCCTGTAAAACAAAGTTGCACTGTGTGATTCTTTCCCTCTGGTATAAGTCCTCAATCCCACTATCTTTAGCATTCTTTCAAGCCTTTGATTTAATTCCAATGCACAATATTCTGCAATTGTTTAGCTCTTCTCACAGAAGTATAATTTGACTCCAAGTTAGATATGTTATTAGCAGTATAGAGATATTGGACACAGTGAAGCAAAGATAAATAAAATCTACATCAAGAAATAGGCTGTCTGTTCAGAAATACAATATATAAACTATTATGAATGGATGTCTCAGTACCTAAATTTTAAATAAAACATACTGAAAACAATGAAATAATACTTAACAAAAAAATGACTTAAATGAACGAATTGTCACAACATAAAACTATATGCATTTTACTGCAAATTATTATTTACATATTATATGAAAAAAAGTTATTACAGGCAAAGAAATGAGTTGGCTCTTCCTTCAAGTATATACAAAAAGCATTTGAAATATTTGATAAGTAAAGTTATATAAAATATCTTTTAAGATATTCTGCCAAGCATGGATTTAAAATTTTGTTTTGGGGTAATATCTGAAATTTATACCTATTGATATAACTTAGTGCGATGTATGATGGCTGCTGCTGTTCTTGCCGCTCCAAAACCTTGGGATCATTTTCTGTTGAAAGAACACACCAGAATTAATTAAGAATCTTATTGTCATATAATTTTAAAAACAGCTATTAAATATTTGGCCTGAACTGAAATATCAGATTTATTTCACTAGAGTTTCACATCGCACAATAAAGTCAACTCTGTGGAGGCAGCATCTGCCTCATCAATCCTCATTTTTCAATGTATACGAGAGGGCAGTGAAATCATCTTTTAAAATCCTCACATCACTTAACTGGGACCCGTATGATGCAACTTCAGAGTGAGCATTGTAATAAGTACCCAGTATTTCTGCACAGCAGTAGGCAGGAGTTGTATCTGTTTCAAGCCTCCCCTTGTGGCCGTGGTAGAGAGAGCAATAATTGGACACCCGGTTTTTCAGACCATACCTCTCAATTGGCATGGAGACAGGTTTGGCAGTAAATCAGCAGCTACACTTGATGGAAGTGAATATGACAGAGTGCAGATGGACATGATTTCAGATTTTCTTTTACTATCCACGTACTAGGCACAAAATACAGGGGCAGAGTTTACATTATCGGTATTCACCAGGTGGGCAGTAGCCCTGCCAATTTTACCACTATCCTGACTGGCTTCACTGGAGGTCTGAGCTATTTTCTGCCATTTTGAGAGCTGTTACTCCAGACTGGAGGAACTTAAAAGAACATCTCAGGAGAAACAGATGCTGAAACCTGGGCAAAGCAGTCTCTCAGTTCTCTGATGCAGACTTGTATCTGCTGCTGGAGGGTCAGGAAGAGCGGGGTGGTTCTGTTCCTGGAGAAGGCTCCATCCAGACAAAGCAGGCAAGGATGAACATTGCTGGCACGCAGTCAGCAAAGAAGAGTGTGGTCTAAAAGACTTTACACCCAGTGCCACATGTCATTCAATGACTTTGTACACTCTGCTGAAGTAAGTGCAGCCTGAAGCATCAAGACAAGCCTCTATATATTCACCAGGCCAAGCAGCATCAGAGGAGCAGGAAGGCTGACG